CACATACAGAGGGATTAATGAACCAGCGGCCTCACGTGACTGACGGGCACGCCGTGAAGAGGGGGCACGTGTGTTGGGAGCTGCGACGACTGGGTTATTGGACATGAATTACCACGATTCACTACAGTCTTTTACATGAACTCTGTTTGACATCTCCTGTACAAGCACTTGTGCATTGATCTGTATACGCTTTTCGCTATGGGTCACGCAGTAGATTTGAATGTAGACTGACACACATTTCTGTTGAAGGTCACGTTGGTGAATAAACAGCTGTGACAACCCCGTCGTGTCGGTAAAGGAGCCAATCAAGTCGCTAGAAGGATCTCCAAGCCAAATATTTACAGGGCTGCGGTTCCATCAAACAGATAGTTTTTGTTTTAATGTGCCTCTTCTATCGGTCGCTTAATGTTCTTGTATAATGTTTTCAGACAATGCAGCACACTTTTAAGGCACTAATGTTTCAGATCCAGCCAACTTTTTTAAAGCATGCATCAGCCAAATACCACAGATTTGGAAAGTGTTAAGAAGTCCACACTTGCATTCCTAAAGTCGGCTGATACTCCGTATTGATTTTTTCGGCAGCTTAAAATCAATAATTGTGATTTCAAATGAAGGCATCTACTGACGTACCCGTATCAGGTCATTGATCAGCGAGACTCTGAATTCCCAGTCGAGGTTTATCGATGCATTGGCTATGACTGACTACATTTGTGGACAAAAAAGCCAATATCGATTAGAGCAGCAAAGGACTAAGTGGAGGTGAATGCACGTGGAGGCGGATGCGACTCACCCGCAGACTGCCTCTGTTGCAGTGCTCGTAGACGTAGCTGAAGGACTCGGCGTCGATGTAGCAGGCGATGAAGAGGTTCAGGTTCTCATGGCGGATCTCCCTCAGCGAGCGCAAATGCTCGATCATTTTCACCTTCAGCGAGATCGACGGCAGGTCAAGTTGTCTGATGTGAAGTCGCATGCCCTAGAGCAGTCAACACGCGGTGCCTTCAATCGCGCCAAACCTTGCTTTGACGCGAATCCACAACTCTTATCCGCCTTTCAGACCAAACCTGTCCTTTATCGATTGTTTACTAAGCTATGATGCGTGTTGTTACACCAATCGATAAATTTGTGCAAAATTAAAGGAGACGTGTTG